ACGAATTTACTGATACTCCACTTCATTTTGCTGTTATAAGTGGTGACGTAGAAATTGTTAAGATGCTTCTAGACAGACATGCTGACGTTAATGCTACAAATTGGTATGGCACAACTCCCCTTCACTATGCAATTCAACATGAGAAAATAGAAATTGCTGAATTACTTTTAAATCATGGAGCTAACGTTAACGCCAGTACCAATAACGGTATAACTTTTCATAGTAAAGCTGAGAAAAGATATTTACAGATTAATGACCATCTTTTAAATCATGGAGTTTATATTAATTCTACATATATCTATTCCTTTATACCAGGTGATACACCACTGCGTCTTGCTGTTAAAAGAGGACATGTAGATGCTGTTAAGATGCTTATAAACAGAGGTGCCAACGTTGATGTTGAATTTTGGAATGGCACAACTCCGCTTCACTATGCGATTGAAAATAATACAATAGAAAGTGCTGAATTACTTTTAAATCATGGAGCTAACGTTAACGCCAGTAACAATTACGGTATAACTCTTTTTTATATTGCAGCTGAGAAAAGATATTTACAGATTTATGAACATCTTTTAAATCATGGAATTTATATTAATTCTACATATATCTATTCCTTTATACCAGGTGGTACACCACTGCATCTTGCTGTTCGTAGAGGACATGTAGATGATGTTAAGATGCTTATAAACAGAGGTGCCAACGTTGATGTTGAATTTTGGAATGGCACAACTCCGCTTCACGATGCGATTAAAAATAACAAAATAGAAATTGCTGAATTACTTTTAAATCATGGAGCTAACGTTAACGCCAGTACCAATAACGGTATAACTTTTCATAGTGCAGCTGAGAAATGATATTTACAGATTGATGAACATCTTTTAAAATGGAGTTTAATTGGATAGTGACTTCTACATATATCTCTTCCTTTTCAGGTGTAACACCACTGCATCTTGCTGTTGAAAAAGAATTTGTAGATGATGTTAAGATGCTTATAGACAGAGATGCTAACGTTAATGCTGAAAGTCGAAATGGCACAACTCCGCTTCACTATGCGATTGAAAATAATACAATAGATAGTGCTGAATTACTTTTAAATCATGGAGCTAACGTTAACGCCAGTACCAATAACGGTATAACTTTTTTTATAGTGCAGCTGAGAAAGGATATTTACAGATTGATGAACATTTTTTAAAACATGGAGTTTTATTGGAGAGGTAATTCTACATATATCTCTTCTTTTTCAGGTGTTACACCACTATGTCTTGCTGTTAATAACAGACATGTAAAAGTTGTTACGATGCTGTTAGACAGAGGTGCTAACATTAATTCTTCATCATATAAGGTTTATCATGCCCTTTATCGTGGCATCAATGGTTATGAACCAGTTGCTGAGATTCTTACACAGCATATAGTTAAGATGAAAACTGCAAATTTCTACGTAAGTGAACAATTATTGTCAGTGAGTAGCAAATATGAAATAAGATATTTACAGGATATATGTGAAACAGAAGTAGCAATCATGAAAAATGAGAAAATTAGTAATTCTAACATTTCATTGTATGATATCTTGATAAAAGATACAAATCCATTAGCAAAATATATGAGAAATAAAAATGTAGTGCAGGTTTTAAGATCAGAAGATTATAAAACAAAATATCCAATGTACGCTAGCATGATAAAAAGTAAGTTCAGAAAAGGTATGGAAAAGAAAGAGTTGCTCGAACAAGGCACTAAAATTTTCTCTTTTTTCTGTAATTTTCCTGAGCTACCACATGAGTGTATTGAACAAATATTTAGTTACCTCAGTAATAACGACGTAAGAAGTTTAATAGATACTTGTAAGTCTGTTAGTGTCAGTAATCTTAATACTGATATTACTGATGTAACACGTATCTCAAATACATCTAAAGTGCTATGTGTGTAAGTTAAAGAAGAACGAACTACTTTAAACGTGAAATAACAGCTATAAAAATTTAAAGATTATTACTTTATTTTATAAATACAGATTACTATCTTATTTTAAAATTAAAGGTTTATAAGAGAGTTTATCGTATTTTAGTTTTTTAAAAGTTGGTTTTTACGTTTATATTCTCTTGTATATGTT